GGGGGGGGGGGGGGGGGGGGGTAGAGTGGCAAAGCAACACACCACCTCACCGAGTACACGGTTCAAGGGGGCTGGAGTCCCACACTGCACTACTTCCCATTCAAGCTCAATGCCCAAAGCCCCTTTGAGGTCAATGGGCACTGTTCTCAACCTCACATCCTCAAGTCCCCTGGCAACAACCGTCTTCTGGAGCGCCTTCTTATGCTGGAGTAACAACTTTGGGGCCTCATGATAGAAGGCCAGTTGAGGTGTTTGGCATCATTTTCAGCAAGCCCTGTGAATGGGGGAAGTGGACTGTGCGCAGGCATCAAGATTTGGAGCCTGGTTTTGGTACAGCTATAACAGGAAGATGGTTTGAGCATGAGATGAGGAGGCCTAGACCTAGGTGGTATGGGCTGAAAAACAAAGGGGGTGGGGAAGGTGTCTGGGGTACAGAGATCTGAACCTAAGAGGGGAGGATGGAGTCCAGACTGTAGTGGAAAGCACTGAAATTGTGTTGGGTAGTGAGCACTGGCACAGGGACAGAGGACAGACCTGCTCCTGTGAGGGGCAGGCCTAGGTTTGGGAGGCAAAAACAGAGCACCCTCCATCTACTGGTTGACTGCTTATAAGAGATCACTGCATGTCTCACCACATGCAAGTTCTGCACCAGCATGTGCATGGTCTGTTTTGCCATGTCAGATGTTCCATACCTGGAACAAAGCAGTGTGCCTGGACTGGGAAATACCCCTCCTGGCAATATTCCCTGCCAGTACATCTCTCCTTTACACCCTGTGCTCTCATCTCCAAGGATGTTACCAGGCCTGCTAACATTTCTTCCCTCCTAGTCCTCCCTCCACATCCCTGCTACTCTGGACTGTAGTCTTGGCTTGTCTTCCTGGGTCCCTAGAAAGGCCGTAGCTGGGGTTGCAGGCGTTGACCCTGGAATGACAGCAAATAGACAAGGAGGCATTGTTAAAACTTGTGTAACATGACACTAAGTGCTGAATTCCTAACCACTTCCCCCTCCCCTTCAAAAAACATCTTTGCATCATTCTTTCCTGGGGACTCTTCACATGTACTGCAGTTTCCCAAAATGGTGAATACATCAGCCCCTCAGCTCCTAAATGGAGACCACCACCCACGATTCTAAAGCATATGGGCTGCCTCTGATGATGCAGGGGTAAGGGGGTCAACCTGGGGAAAATGCCTCTTGCTTAGGCTGCCACTGGACATTTTCCTGGAGTTTGCAAGACCTCAAAAAACAAAAAACCCCTAAGAAACAGGTCCGTGGCTGACTCTAGGCTTTTATACACAAACCTTCTCTCTACTCCTGATACTCCCAAGATGCTCTCTAAATCTTGCAAGCTGCCATGATTTACATGGATGTGACTCTCCTCCTTATCCCAAAAACCAATGGGTAAAAGATAAGCATTTACTGCAAGCTTTGCTGCCTCATCATATTGCCTTCTGGGAGACCAAGCGAGTTACAGAGGAAAAGTTACCTTGGAGAGAAAAGTCCTACCTTTCAATGACAGAGCAAGCCTGCACACTTACTTCCTGAGGAGGTTTAAGCACCTCTCACTAGGTGGGGACTCTACTGACTCCTTGGAATGACTACACATCAAAGCCCGAGGGCTGCCTGTGGGCCTTTGACAGCACACCCTTCCCCACCCAGCACTACCCTCAAAGAAAGTTCACTGTCTCTGGGCAACTGCCTGTCAAAATACCAAGGCCTGCCTCCCTCCCTCCCAAAATCTCTCTCTACAGGTGCTTGTTGCCTTCCCACCCTCTGGAAAAAACTATTTTCCAGACTCTGCATGAGCCCACAGAAATGTCTATGTCAGCACACGGGATGCCCCACCGTGCTTCTGTCAGTGACACTCCTGAACACTCCCACCTGCATGGTGTCTTGATGAAGCAACAGA